AGACACACTGACTGGACACTCCAGTACATTAACACTGCACTGAGAGAGAGAGGGGTTAATACAGACACACTGACTGGACACTCCAGTACATGAACACTGCCCTGGGAGAGACGCAGACTGACCAGTGCTCTTGGCAATGTTCTCCAGCAGCAGGGGATACTTAGTCAGTCTCTGCATCTCAATGGGGATGATGTCCTTCAGCTGGAGACGTCGACACTGTGGTTTACTCTCTGCCTCCTGAGAGTCAGAAATAGACTGTTACCTGTGCTCAGGTGTGCCAGCGAGGGATACCTGTGCTCAGGTGTGTCAGAGGGAGGCTCACCTGTATGAAAGTGTTGAACTTGGGGTCCTTCTTCTGCCGGCCCTTAATGAAGTCCAGCGCGTAAGACTGATGACTGCAGAACCGGGCCGAGAGCTTCTGGAACCACTCCCCCTCAGCTCCACTGAACTGCCAGGCCAAACGCAGGCCCGAGGAAAACGGGTTTAAATGAAGGTTTTCATCACTGGCGTCACTGGCGACTGCTCTAGGAGCTGCCACCTCTAGTGGTGAAACTGTGAAATCAGCTAGAGTGGACCATGGACATTGTGAAGAAATTCCTTAAAGTTGACAAGTAATATTAGTGATTTTAATCAGTACAAGTTAAACCAATCGACTGTGCCTCTGTGTTTCGACCCGTAAAATAACGATTCTGGAATTCGCCACAGCCCGTGCGGCCCCTACCCGGCTCAGCAGGGTCTGCCCTATGGCCTTGACGATGAAGCTGCTCTCCTGCCGCAGCCTCTTCAGGCTCTCATAGAAGGAATCTGCAGGGGCAGAGAGAGGAGGTGAACTAGAGAGGCAGGGCGGACCTCTGAAGACACGGAGTGAGGCCAGCTCGGGACACACGAATACAAACACCGCAGGCTGCTACAGATAGTGGCCGTGAACACTTCTAGACATGTAGACAACAAAGACTCCACTACAGAAATGTATGTACCGTAGGTTCCTATAGAGACAGGAGACACCAGAACAGAGATGTGTGCACTATACGCTCCTACAGATACTGTGCAGACAAAAGGGATTATGCACTATAGACTACTATAGAATAGAGTAGACTCCATAAGCATATACTACTCTAGAGTAGATATATGCAGTATAAACTGCTACAGAGATAGTGCAGTCTCCAGTGCAGAGCACTACACACTGTCAACTTGTACATAAACAGTGAAGACTCTATTCTGCTATTCTATTGCAACGGTACAATTTGGATCACGGCTCTGATCACGACACTGCAGAGCCCGGAGTGGATCGGACTGCTGTCCAGGGGCCGAAGCTCACTCACAGTGCATCTCGATGATCTCTTCCAGGTTGGGGAAGATGGCCTCCAGCTCCGTCGAGGTCATGATGGACTCGCGCTCCATGGGCCGGGCGAAGACGTTCTGCAGCACGGTCAGCATCCGGACGTGGGCGTGCTCCGTCAGGAACAGCTCTGAGAGGGAGAGCCCAGGGCCGCTGAAAGACCGTGTCCATCGTTCTCCCTGTCCCCATCCCGCCCCACCTTGCCATCTCTCCCACCTCCCCCTGCAGTTCTCCTTCCTTCTCTCACCATTGATGACCTCCTGCCTCTTGGTCTCCCTCTTGTTCAGGGTCCTCGATGTCTCCGGCGGGATGCACTCTCTCCAGTTGGGGGGGTCCTGCTCCAGCTCGGCTGTGCGGGGCTCGCACTCCTCCGCTGGCGCGCTGACAGGGCCCGGCTGGGGCTGGTCTGCTTGCACCGCAACGCTGTCCGAGCTACCCAAGGGGAGAGAGAAACTAACCTCACAGGCCTGTGTGTTTACTGGACACTATAACAGTTTATACATGGATCACAGTGACTATTCCTGAACACTGACTGTGATCTTTTATACACGAAGAACTGTGACTATTACAGGACTGTGTCTTTACTGAACACTGACTGCAATATCTTATACATGAACCACAGTGACTATTACAGGACTGTGTCTTTACTGAACACTGACTGTAATATCTTATACATGAACCACAGTGACTACTACAGGACAGTGCCTTTGCTGAACACCGACAGCAATATCTTATACATGAACCACAGTGACTACTACAGGACAGTGCCTTTACTGAACACTGACTGTAATAGTTTATACACGAACACAGTTCCAGGTTTGTCTTTACTGTGGAGTGTTTCTCTGTTCCTCTCCCTGCCCACTCTCTCCCCACCACTCCCTAGCGCTAGCTGTCCCTCCCTCGCGCCGTGACATACGAGGCTGCATGTCTGTGGTTAGGGGGGTGGCTGGTGGCCGGAGAAGGGGGGCCGGTGGCCGTGCCGGCCGTCTGCAGGTCCACGTCGCTGCGGGAGCGATTCTGCTTCGCCCGAGACGAGCCGCGATGGGACCGGCGGCGCTCCACACACAGGCTCTCGCTGCGGCCCAGCTTTATTCCTCCCACCCTGCAGGAGAGGGGCGGAGAGAGGGAGGGAGACAGACGGAGGAGGAGAGGCACAGCATGAGAAAGAGAGGAGAGAGAGGATGGGATGAGAAAGAGAGAGAGTGGAGAAGGGACGGGGGGGGAGGTGGAGAGATGGGGAAAGAAACAGAGGGAGAGAGGGATATGGCGGAATGAAGGGTGGGGGAAGGAGGTGAAGATTGAGGGGAAGGATAGAGGAGAATGTAAACAGAATATGGAGCAGAAGAAGACAAAGAGGTGGCGAGAGAGACGGAGAGACTAGGAGTTCCAGTAGCTGCTGCCCTATTGTACCCGGGTCAGTCAAAAGAGAGCTAACATCCCGATTTCCTGCAGTCCGATTTGCAGGACCCTTTAGGCTTCGTAACGGGGCTTTATATTTCAGTATACAGAGGAAATCCACCAACCTCTACTGCTGTAGAAAGGATTCATGCGTTTCCTGTATAATTGCATTGGCAATAATAAGATCCCATCTTCACTGGATGGTGGACATTATTACCAGTGAACGTGATGCTTTATTCATGAAGCACAGTGACTATTACACTAATGGGTCTTTACTGAACACTGACTGTAATATTTTATGCATGAAGCACAGCGATTATTACAGGACTGTGTCTTTACTGAACACTGACTGTAATGTTTTATACATGAAGCATAGCCCTTATTACAGGACTGTATCATTACTGAATTTCCGACTGCAATATTTTATATATGAAGCACAGTTCCTGTTAGAGGACTATCTCATTACAGAACACAGTAATACCGCGAGTTCACTGTTGAATTCCGGAGAGCGATACTTAGCCATGCAGTGAGTGTGTGTAGGTGTGTGATTGTTAGTAGGTGAGTGTCAGTATGTGCCAGGCCCCAGGGATCAACAGCCGTCCACAGTCACCAGAAGACACCCACCTTGGTTTCTTCCTGTGAAAAACACACGAGCCCACGAGTTAATCACGGCGTGCCCCCAGTGAGCAGCGGTTCACAAGCACACAGCGCTGTGCGTACCCTCGGCGCCACTCCACGCAGTGAAGCAGCGGCACGGAAAGCAGGCTGGGACACGAGGACAGGCCGGCGAGCCGCGCAACACGACAACGGAGATCAGCGCTATACAAGGACGCGACACGCACAACACAGCGGGGACAGACACAGACCGAGGCCGCCGACGAAGCTTTGCGTAGTGTAGTCCCTTCACAAACTCCCAGGCTGACCCAGGGGACATAAGCACAGGCTGTTAGATTCTGGCAGAAACTCCGATTGTATAACCCTATATACTGTAAACGCGTCTATTCATCTCGATCTGGAACTGTACACACACGTCTTCCAGTATGGACCCTAGCCCTGTGAGCTCCTGACGGTAGGGTAGCAGTTGGTCATGTCATCAGTGAGCTGGCTATACAGCAGCAACAGCGATGCTGCAGTACTGACCTATGACATCAATGGGTGCAGAAAAGCCCGATCATTTAGAAATTGTTTTTCTAACAAATCTGGACGAGCCCCTTATTTCTGTTCTGTTTTGGAGAAAACAGGTGTGCGTTTTTCCTGTGGGAATGACCTCACACAGGGAAGAAAGGAGAAAAGGAAGCCGCTCGATCCTGAGGAGCAGCATGTCTCTCACCGACAGCACTGCCTACACAAAACACCCAGCTGTCCTCCTGGTCTAACAGGACTGGACCAGCTGTCCTCCCGGTGTAACAGGACTGGACCTGAACCACCGGAC